GCTTGAGAGGTCAAAGGAATATGGAAAGGAGCGGATGGCAACATAATCCTACTGACCGATGTCCTTCCATTATCTGTGCACTTCCAGTGATTGTTGAGGAGTGTAGGATGGTGATTAGGCGTAGCCAAGAGATAGTTGTTATTGGTCTTATTCAACATGGAAGGTTGTTAGCCCTGGTGGTTGTGTGATGTTGGTCGATAGGGAGTTTTGGGTGCGACCGATTATTTAGTATCCATACGTTTTTTTAATCCACAGGTCTCGGCATTGGAGTCGTCCTTGTGCGACAGTGGACTATGAATTGTATCAGGTTGTCTATCCTTGGACGTGTCTTGCTGGTTTGGACCGGATTGTGATATATTCAACGAGTTGTCATTACTCCACTGTCCCAAGAACTTAAACTTTCCTTTACTCCTTATGCATGAGGAGTTTGATATAATGGGTGTGCTGTTGTCAGGAATTGGAGAACCCGCTTTATCCGTTCCTTGTGTAGAGGGTGTTTCACTGGAGCAAGGAAGGACGGCTTTGGATCTAGTTGACAACGTTGTTAAATTATCTCGGTCTAAATCAATGCATCTAGTGTATCCACCTTGGATGCACTTTTAATCCTTTGGCTGAGATTTCTCAAACAGCCTAGTTATTTTTTCCGGTGTCCGCGGCACAGTGCCAATTTCGGACCTAGGTAGCGGTGTCCTATCTGGGTTACTCAAAATACCGTTAAATTGGGTACACTGGCCTAGGATGGGTCCATAATAAAGGAATCGCTCGGCGACTTCCTCGCTTAAAATATTTGAAACTGATTAAACTTCAATGTTTCTGTGTCAATGTTAGACATGTTATGAGCTTTCAGTATCGTTAGTTTTACTTTATCCAGACGCAACCTGTCCGGAAGATTAAAAAAACAATCACATTTTTTACTCTGCATATTCGATCGTGCACTTCAGAAGCAACAGAGGCAAGTAACTGCCTTGCTTTTCCCATTAGAACAAGATCAGTCTTCTCCAATGGATTATTGTTGAAGTCAAGCGTAATCATGTGATATTTGAGGGCTTCAAAGAGTGCCAGCGTTTTTCTCATCTCATTAAGTGGTGATTCCAAAGAGAACATTTTATCACTTAGTTCTGCGATGACGTTACTTTTAGCCGTGGAGTCTCGCATTTTATTCGCTTTGCTGGCGGCGTGGAAGGTACACTACGCTAATCCTGCCGAATACGTCTAGACTTCGCTGGGGCCATTGCGATCTAGGATTGTCAATGTTCAGACTCAGGCGCCAAGGTAAGGTAATGCAATGAAAACCAATCTTGTGTGATTTCTCGCAGTTGGACTGGATACTGCCAGGGCGTCCACACCTGAACAGGAGAACGACTCGGGTCCTCAGCCAAATCCATCGATAAAATGCACAGACGAAAAACAGCGGACCTTTTACGAAGAGCCGGTGAACCGACTCACGCGGAAATGTGTGTCCCTCCTCTTAGGTAGGAGCAAGGTGTAACCCATTCAGCAAAAAAACGCTTAGGAACCTTCAGCGATATGCGCAGTCACCGGTCGCTTAACTTTAAATGCCGGAGTTGATCGTAAATCACCCATAATCGAATCACAAGGCGGACCTGATCCACAATGTTCGAGATAATTCACAAAAACGGCTGGCGTAACTACCGAGCTATTGGATAACTACCATTAGCCCGAGTAAACTGGTCTAGCAGCACATTCCGTGCCGCACCAATGCGCTCCTGAAGGAAACCCGACGCGTTCTCTCTAAACTCAAACCGTCCAATCGACATGATCGCAAGCCTCCATACAACTGCACGTGCGCTCAGCATCACACTTGTCACTCTCCCCTTCGGTGAGGTGTAGACTCGATCCCAAACTGCACCGCCTGACGGCCAGCCTAGGAACTAGACGCAGTCGACCACAGGATCCAAAGCACACGCGAAGCTTACTCGGCTATGAGTGCGGATGGTCATGCAAACACCAACTGTAGCAATCGATAGTATTGCTTCGCTTGTCGTGCTATCGTTCAACTGCCTTGCGATGTGTATGGCGGCTCCGTACTGAGTCATTCTGGCGGCTTATATTGCACAGCGCATGAGCTGTGGCGGAATTAACAACGCGTGCATGCGTGGTTGGCATATCATGCACGCCATAGGATAGACGGCGCGCACTCAGTCTAGGCAAGAAAGCGCACGCGTCAGGATGAAGTATCAACGTCTCCTCTGCGGTTGGCTAACGCAGCTATTCTCAACGAGAGCCATATGGCCACAGCGGCGCCATAGGTAATTCAGGGGACCCCTGGATGCAAAAAGCTTTTAAGGGGCCTATAGGGGGTCATGTTGGGTGTAGTGGGTTGTTGCGAACACAAAATTCAGCCAAATAATTTTCTGAACCTTTCTCTTCGCGCAGTAATCTCTCCTGGTCACTACCGGTCAGCGAAATGGATTACGCGCGCACAATTTGCTGTTTACGAACGGGTGAATCCAGACCGGGCAAACTTTTCGTTGCGGAGCTGATGGAGCCTCGCCAAACTTACACAGATTTCACCGCGCTCACCTCAAACATACAATCAGCACACGGCGACTTGGACTGCGCAACCAACACCCGATTCCTCGTCAGCACTTTGACGCCTAACCACAGTGAACCAACTGAGTTTTACTCAGAACACATGCATCTACTGGGCAAGCTGCAGTGAACCTAGCGAACTCTCGTCAGAACACTGCGGCAGTTACCGCACAAAGCCACACTGATACTAACAGAGTTTTCCTCAGGACACTATCACTATGTGACAACTCAAGTGTCGAGAAAGAATTCTCGTTGGGTCTCATTTCAGTGGGGCTAGGTTACACGTTTTTCGTCTCCAGTCTCAGCTTGCGCACGCGTCTGGCGGCTAGGTCAAGTTAGCCCGCAATGTTCCGAATTCGAGTGGCTACTCTGCCCGCGTGGTGTACTAATTCTGAACAACAATCGTTCGTTCCGACTAAGAGTTGAAACAGTTGGAACGCGTTATAACGCTTTCTTAACATTCAATTCAGCTGAAGTCTTCAAACTGGAGAGCAATTTTTCATAGGTGTGGACATCCGGTTTCTTCGGTGAGTATATAACATAATGTGTACAATAAGATATTTCTCCTAACACTCATGGTAGTTACACCAGCCGTTTTTTGTGAATTATCCCGAACATTGTGGATCAGGATCACGTACGACCTCGCACTCGACTGGCGATGGTCTCGTGGCAGCTAGTTTTTATGGCGCGCTTACGCTTTTTTCTGTAGACAAACTGAAGCATGATACCAAATTGAAACTTCATTGGTTTTCAGTACCTAAGTTCTATACCTCTCCGTATCCGTATGATCCAGAAGTTAACTATCGACTTGCTATCTTATGCCTAAAACGCCTAGGTCGCGTTACTTAGCACTAGTGCGCTTCGCTAGTCTTGGCTGACTTGTGTGTCTCCCTATCGGCGCCTGTTGTCGAAATCAATATGGTGTGAACGCCGACAGTTGTGCACTGCGTTGCCGAAACGCTTGTAGAATTGAGCACCACAGGAAATAACCTGCTGTGGTCTTTTGAGTATCCATAGTAATGTCGATGGAGATGACTGCGGCATTGGCTTATATTTCTTTTAATAGCGTAACTCTTAAGAGGTTAACGTGCAGTCTCTGTTTCATGGACATTGGGCTAATGGGTTTGGCAAGTTGCTGACCAATCTGTACACTAGACTGAATCGGAGCTTGCAAAGGAAGTCGTTGCTCTGAATCGAAGCTTGTCGCTGTGGCCTGATATGCACTGTTCGCGTAGTCAATATCAAGTCAACCGCATATTTTTTGCTTTAGTAGCTGGCTGCTTCCTTTCGAGTTAGATAGGCTCCTAAGCTTACAGCCACATCCATGGATCAGAGGCGACGAATGCATACAACCAAACGGGCAGAATTATCACAACTGTCAGCAAGAAAGCACTGACTGGAGTTCGCTATGGACTGAAGGTGGAATAAACAAAATGTGTAGGCTTTAACCTTTGTGGTTGACAATTTAAGTCCACTAATGAAGTAACGGAAAGTGGCGAACACTTGTAATCGGGTCCAATATATTTCTCAGACCAACAGGTGTCCCAGGAGGGGGAGTTGTAGCCAGCAGCAGGGCGCGTAGTGAGCAATCACCGCATTATGGTCAACTGGCAACAAATGTCACCGGAATAGCGTGTAAACTTAGACGATACATTCCCTATATGTTCGAGTTAAACTGACTGTATTGTAACGGAGACTAGATTATAGTCTACACCTCATAGCTGAGCAAGTTATATGCTCTATATGTCAGATCCTACCCAAAGGTTACAGAATTCATTCAACTTGTACGGGTTATGAACAGATGACTGAGGTATTAATGATTCTGACTGCATAATTTGATGCAGTGATGTTGCGTTTTCTCAGAAAACCTCTGGGTGCCTGTATGATGGAAACTTATCTGGCCTGCGATGCACTAGGAGGGTTACCAGACGTACTCATATTGATTGTCTCCACTTAAATAGGAGTAATTAGTCCGTGCTCACGCATGATATAAATCTGCATCACATTGACATCTTTTTGAACACACCGGCACAATGTTTCATCTACGTCTGTGACAGCCACTTTCCCGTGCTGTTGTTCAGATTTCGTTGCGCTAACATATCTTCCAATGATATCCGCTGCCGCAAAGCAAATGCAGCTAGTTTCTCATCATGGCACGTTCTGTGTGAGAAGTTTACGGGACATTAATCGAATCGTTGGCGGAGAACACGCGTGATATCGTACACTTTGCACCTACTTCCATGTGGATATTCCAGGAACTTCACTTCTCGGTCTGTCAGATATATTAACGTGCATGTGAATTTAGGAATTCCCGGATGTTGTCACGTTTGTGCCTATTCTGACGAATCGGCTGAACTCCCTAAAGGGTAGGCATATCCGCACACTACGATCAATTTTTACGGCTACCGTTTATTTAACGCGCTTTTTTGTATTATTTACACTTTTAGATGGATACGATGATGCTGAGGATCTTCAAGGTGGGGGAGTTAATCATTCTACGGGGACTGCATTGCAAGATGGTCAATGGGCACCTGGTGCCGCGAGCAGAAGGCCAGGTCAGGCGCCCGGTTCCAGCGCTGGTGTGAAGAGAAAGGTGTTCTTCAAAAAGGTTTGTTTCGTTATGTTAAATCATTGATAGTCAACATCTTGGTAAATTTGTTGATTACCCAAAACGATCTTTGAGCAACGCGTCTCCCTCGGTGTCAGTTCAAAAGCAGGATCAGGAAACATTGTTTAGCTATGTACTTTTTCAGAACAATACCGTATATATAACTTGCGGTTCGTTTAAATAGCGACCATATATGGTGTTAAAATGAAACATACTTAAACTGACGGCGCCCCAATACGCGTTGTTTTATCTGATAAATCTAGTAAAGGGATAATGTGTTGGACGCACGATTTGCATTCGCACCATTAATCCAACAATGTGAGATTACCTAAAATGTGTTGTCAGTGTCCAGTGTAACAAACATAAGCTGTACTTACACCAGTGTCCGAACAGCCCAATCGGTTAACCAATTAAAACAGACAAGGTCACCAACAATACCACCGGCGCTGTAGTCTTGCCTGCGTGATGGAATGAGTTACAGTAGATCTGACAAAACTTATCAACTCAAACACAAATTGACAGTTTGGAGCGCCAGTCGACTGGTTGGTACATATGCCAACAGGGCCTGATGAGAATCGGCACATTAGTTTGCAGTGGGATAGTTGATTGTTTGCTGCAAAGGTAAAGAAAGTGGTCAGAATGGAATAGGGAAGGGTTCGCCAGGAAGAAATGTGTTCACAAGATAGGGGGATCACGATTCTTCTACAGATGCTATTGATGTAACACGCTGAAACGAACCATGTTCTCATCATTGATTTCTCCATTGTATCGGGTTTAACTTCCGTGAAACTGTGAAGAACGCCACTATGGCCTACTTCGTTTCTTGAGGCAGCATTCCTTCGATGGCGCTTAGTCACAATCATTTCACAGTTGCCTGTTGAATAAACTGTGTCCTTGCTACTCCCTACGTGTTATCAGACTTAAAAACCTTATGCCCCGTAATTAAACCAAGTGAACGGCCACTTCCATTTGACTACTTTTGGTATGTGAATAATGCCTGACATAATTCATAGCATGAGCTCTCTGACCATCAAACCAGGAATCCTGCGAATGTTATTTTGCATACTACAACTCGTTTACCGAACGTTATCTTTCGGGTCTGGCAATTTCTGTTTTGCGTATAGACTGCGCTCAGCCTAATATCCGTTCTCTTACAGCCTGACGCCGTCGTACCTTATGAAATCGTCCCATGTATGCGTCCGGTTGTTTTTGTCGGTCCCGCTCTTAAGGGCTATGAGGTAACCGACATGATGCAGAAAGCCATCTTCGATGCTATGAAGAAACACTTTGACGGGCGGTACGTTGATGTTACGGTTCTGTCCGTATTGTACACATGGGTCACTGGCTAACATGTAATCAAACCTAGAAGCGAACATGTACATTAGGGACCTAACCTTGAGTTGCTGAGTTGTTTCCGAAAACTAACGGTTATACGTGAATCGATCGGTTGATGACACACTTTGGTCATTTATGCTAAGAATTTGACTTGAGAAGCCAAGCATCACTTTGTAATAAACTGTCGACCTTATTCCTTAGGTATGGTCTGCCTGAGCACATATATACCAAATACCGCTACTGCTATGCGCTCGGATACCAACAGTTATGACAAACAAGTGTGGACTGGGCGGTTTGCTCAGTGTTTTCCCCCATCTGCTTGATTGTGATGAACAAGCACTGGCTGGATATGCCTGCACAGATCCTTCACCTACATTTGTCGTTAACACTGTTTGATAGTCTGTATTATAATAATAATAATAATAATAATAATAATAATAATGCGTATATTTCTCGGTTGTGCAAGAACCTGTCCCTGAGTTGGGGACAGATTATGAGTACAGTAATGATATTGCTCATGCATGAGTAAGATATGTACCTTGGGGCGTGTGACTTCAAAACATTTTGAATCACATAACTTTTGTTGTTGCTGCCTTTTCTTTTCTCACTGATTATATATTTCTTGGTCCATCCTAGAACTCCTTTAATGATTTACCCGATGGAAATATGGTCATAATCGAGTTCTGGTTCAGGAAGCTTCTGAGTTGAATGCGAAATGTTCTTGCATTTGTGCAAGATCTTATTTGTCTGATTGGCTATTCCACACGACAGCGTATCTGAGGAGGAAGAAGTGGGATCGAATAGCTATCTTGGTTCTTCGCGCAGTTAGTTTACAAGTCTTGTTGCGTAGTATCCGAGTGAAGTTATGTTACAATTTTAGTGTCCATAGATTGGAATGTCTTTTGGTTTCAATCAATTAACAACAGCAGTACATCAGCCCATTTGAACTGATGCTTCGCTGCCATACAACCATGAATAACCTGTGGAATAAAGAATAATCAGACGGAGAGAAGGGGACTTACCTGAAAACCTCAATACCCTAAGCAAACATTCAGTGTCAAGTCGCTTGCACCTTGTGTTAACAACATACCATCACAAACAGCTGGCTATCGTGCAAAGATAGGACGGTATCAGTGACACAGCTTCCTTACGGCTCTCACTGCCCTGCGTCATAGTCAGTTATTACCCCGCAGATAACTCAGCACCAAACACACTTTAGACAGGGAATCCGGCTGGGAGACGGCAGCAGACGCGCCACTGGTGTCGGTTGCGAGCCATGTCCTGTAAAGTCACAAGCCAAGCACAAGGCTAGCCACGTGGACTCCAGCCCGGAAGGCGAGACGGACCAACGGCACCCAGTTTGCTCGCCGTGACTTCATTTCTCGCTGCCAAGTCAATTTCTGTCCACCTCGAGCTTTGCGCCATCCTACATTTGGCAGACTGAACAAAGCCCTCCTAGGTAAGCGGTGACCAAGCATACGTAGCACGTGCCCAAGCCAACGCAACTTATTCGGTGCTATCTGTTCTAGGGAGCTAGCATGATTATCACCACCTAGTACTCGCCTACGCACATCATCGTTGCGGACACGCTGGTTCCATCCGACACCGGCAATGCTTCGCAGACAATGATGATCAAAGACTTGAAGGCGCTTCAGATCTTCAGATCAAAGGGGCCAAGTCTCACTACCATAGAGCAGGACGGCCCTCACTGTGGCCTTGTATACACGGTCTTCCAGACGGAGGGAAACTCCCTTCTGTCGCCAAAGATGCCGCAGGTTCAAGAAGGCAGCTCTGGCCTTTGCAATGCGTGAGCTGACGTCAGTTTCTCTGCGCCCATCGTTGCTGATGCATCAGCCAAGATAAGTGAAATGATCAACCACCTCGAGTTCCTCGTTAGTAAAGGTCATGGGGTGATAAAGTGGCTGGTGGTCCTGCAACAACACTTTGCACTTTGAAGGTGCGAAGTGCATACCAAATAATGTGACCACTCTAGACAGACTATTCAGGGTTGATTGTGCCGCCACAAAATCGTCAAAAAGCAAGACGATATCGTCCGCATAATCTGGGTCAACTAACCTTTCACCAGGCAGCACTCCAACTCCTACATCGTGTGATTCCGTAAGGGCACAATCCATGATAGAATCCACGACGAAATCGAACAAAAATGAGTCCGAAAGCTATCCGATAGTTCACATTAGCCCCTGGCACGGCCTGTAGAGTCCGATTATAGAGCCTGAGGGATGTTCACACATTTCGTGAGAACACCTTTCCGCGCAAGTATTTCGAACATAATGGATCGATCGACTGAATCGAACGTACTCTTGAAATCGAGGAACACAGCTATTGTCGGTATGCGTGGCGTTGCTCTAGCACCTAGGCGGAAACCTACCTGTTCTTCCCTAATCCGAAATTCCCGTTCCACAGTGAGGCGACGAACGACAATCGAGGCCAGTAATTTCGTCACAGCTGGCGTTAGGCTAATATCCCTGTGGTTAGAACAGTCTGTGCGACTGCCCTTCTTGTATATTGCCACTGTAGTCGATTTTCTCCAGTTATCCGGGACATTCTTCCTTCCAGCTACGTTCGACTAGGGAGGTCAGTGCTTTGCAGTGGACATCACCATCCTTAAAGAGTGCAGGTAGGAGGGGATCCGGACCAGTGGCACGAAAACCATTGAGGGCTGTGATCGCGTTTCGGACCTCGGCCTCCGACGTAGGCTCGTACTGCATCACTTGAGTAGGAAGAGGTCCGGGAGCAGGGGGCCAGCCGAACTAAGTGTTCTGCCCAACGAGCCATGCGGCGCTCCTTATTTGGTATCAGTGTACACGCACTGTCTCTGAGTGTCTCACTGACGCATGGTTTCCTGGGACCAGTGGTGCTGATCAGCAGGAGAGCTTGCGGTAATTGCCTACTGCTCCTGCCTCCTCAATTTTTTGAGCCCGACTGGTCCACTAGGCATCCTCGTCAGCACGTAGGCTCCGCGTTAGTTTTCGTCTAATAGTCTGTCTGGCCGCATTGTGCTCAGAGCTAGCAGGCAGCTTTCTTCTGGATTGCAACAGGTTCACCGACCTCTCGGATATCCAGTGACTGGTGCGGTGACGATTGATAGTGTCACAAGCAGATGCTCCTGTGTCGTGCATGGCGGCCGAGATCCTATTCTACTGAAGCACAGTGTCATTTGGACAAGACTGCGAAAGTTCGGTACGCAGTGCGTCTTGATAGGCCTACCTGACTGAGGGCTGTGACAATTTCTCAGTTGCCAATCGGAGGAGACGCTTGGTGTGCCTCTCACTAAAGTTCATGGAGAAACGACAGCGTAGTAAGGCACGATCAGAGTCGACGCTGATATTCCGGTACGAGCGGCAATGTAGGATGGAACCACGCCACCTGTAACTTATGGCAATATGGTCGATTTGGGTCCATCGCTGGCCAGTTACAGTAGGACGCCAAGTGGCGCTTCGACGCCCACTTTGTCTAAAACCGGTGCTACTAAGAAACAACTGGTGCTTCGCACACATTTGTAGCAGACGCTCGCCGTTGTCAGTCCGTTCGGAGTTAAGCCCATGATTACCACCCAGCTGAGCTTTTGAAGTGCTCAGACGCCCTACTTGTGCGTTCAAATCCCCTACAAGTACTATAATGTCTGAACTAGTAGCACTGCGTATTAGCGCGTGCAGTTCGTGATAAAATGTGTCCTTGACAGCATTTGAACTGCAGTCGGTGGAGGCATAAGCGGAGATCACAAACAAACAGCGTTTTTTACTACTTCGTGAATCAGCCTTAGCTGATGTCGTTAAACGGACTGCACATACATACGGACTGCACACATACAATGATACCTACACCAGCTTGACCCATGAGTGCAGCATCGGCGTCTCCGGATCCGTGCAACAAATAACGAGAGGATAAGCCGGGTGCAATTAATTCAACAACCCCATTAGGGTTCGGACACACAGCACACATCAATGCGCAGTATGTCCAAGATGCGTGTGAGTGCAGCCGGTTGGCCTATTTGTCGTGGAGTGCGAACGTTGAACATCGCCCTGGAAACGGGACAACGTGGCCTTATATGGGACTGTTGCCGATGGGTGTTGTGCTTAGGTGGCTGCAAATGGTTCTACTCCCGTGGCTCTTCGGTTGCTGTCAATTAAACTGGGATGTATAGAAGTAATGGTAGTAATGGAGGTCGGGTCGGAGTAAGGGGAATTGATGGAAAAGTAAGAAGGGAGGCGTCTTTATGAGGTCATGTATCAGCATCAGGTTATGTTTCAGTCGTCGCAACCGAAGGGGTTCGAACTTAAGCTGCTGACAGCGCTCCAGGTAGCTCAGTTTGAATGATTTACTGGACACTTGTCTAGTGAATGATCTTTTTAGGTTTTCCAGTGCTTTGCGTTCACCCATGCGCATTTTCTCATAAATGATTCTGCTGTATTTTAGGACAATAAGTGTGAGTATTTTGAGAAGCTCGATTCTGGCATGGATTGTATAGTTTTTGGTATATGTTTGCCATAGACCATTTGACGCGTGCTATTTGATACTTGGCTTGTCCTGAGGAATCACAGTTAGACGGTTTCACGCTGATGCGTTCTTTATCCTGTTTAACTGACTCTTCAGGGAGCAAACCTCTGTGTGACATGATGCATGATTTATTAGCCGAGAACTTTATCACTCATGTGTCACACCATTTCTTAAGTGAATCGTGGTCTTTTTGAACGAGCACCATTGCGGTTTGGGGTTCGTCTCGTCGAAATTTATAACTAATCTTAATATCATCGGTTAACAAAAGTGGCCTGCCATGTTTGATGTACATCGTGGTATCGTCAATATGAAGTAGAAACAGGCAAGAACCAAGTTCATTCTGTTGGATGACACCAATAGTACTTGGACGTAATGAAGAGTTATGATTATTCGGAGTGACCCTCTGGTAACGGCCATTTAGGTATGATGTCAGCCAACCTAGTAGTTGATGTCTGAGCCCAAATGACCCGGTTCTTTTCAGTAGCCTCTTTTGAGGCACTTGATCGAATGCTTTTTGCATATCTAGGAACAACATTATAATTGTATAATTGCGGTCAATGGATTCGGTGATGTAATCCAGGTAGTGCATTTGTCAACTTGGTTTACTATTAGTCAACTAAAATGCGAAATGTCTGCCTATCATCACGCTGCCATGTTTACAAAATGTCTTTTCAGGATTATCGTGAGTCGAGTGAGCACAAACATTTCTCTGGCTAAGCGCGTTGGAGCTCTGCTACATTTGGACAAGAAAAGCGTCACTGAGCGAGGAAGAAGCAGACAACTAGTCACACTACGTAAGCCGCTTTCATCTTAGCTACGTCAGAACTACTTCTCTATTCCTTTCTACTCATCGGGCAATGACAGGCGATTTAGAGCGAGCCCGCAAACTAATGGGAACCCTTACGTGTTCGATCAAGTTTTTCAACGCCACTCTAACTGATACATCCCATCACCCTCCATTTTGTAACAGTATCAGTCGATCGTATCAATGAAGTATACAATGAAGAAACTTCCGTTTTAACTTTTATTTATGCTTATCTGTAAGAAACGGATGTAGCACCTACTCACAATTAATTGTAACCAACGGCAGCTTGTGTATTGAAGCCGAACGACTTCCTGGGCGCAGCCGGTTGAACGGTTACCAAAAATTATGTTTGTCGTAGGTATAGGGCCTAAGGTAATATCAAACACCGTAAGCTTTCTTTTAAAGAGTCAAGAGCCAGTTTTTTCGTACTGTTAACGCCGGACGAGGTGACTTCCAAGCACTTCATGGGTGCTACATTGTCGGTTGCGTTATTAGCAAAATCAGTATTCAGATACTAAATATTGCACAAGAATTTTGATATACTCAAGTTGGTGAGGTACTTTGTCATCCACATCAGTAGCCCCGTACACCAGCTCTCTGTACTGTTGCTTCATCGTAGTACAACCAATCGTTGAGACTGTTCACTTTAGCGATATGTTGATGAATTTCACTGGTGGTCACTTTTTGATTCACTTTTTACTTATGGGGATAAGTAGGCTCCACCTCTAAAACGATTTAACCAAGAAGCTTGGTTAATTGAACAGGATTCAAATGATACGTTTCGGCAGGTGGTTTTTGTTCCTTTTAATTATTTAACCATGACCCAAGCACTACATAACATTTGTCTCAGTTGCCTTAAGTCGTGTCGTTAGGAAGATGATAATTAGCGACTGTGGGAAAATTTGTAGTGCCATATTTACCGATTGGTAGCTAGAGAAACAGTAGCATGAAGGGGTTAACCGTTGAGAGGAGGTAACCGCTTTTTGGAAGCCTGATAGTGTCTCCAGCCATTTTTGATCCATCACTAAGCCCCATCTGGAAAAGTGTTGCACGCCTGCCCCGCTCAGTTCTTCAGTCAGATAATTCATGCTTCTTTGCCACTCGATCTCACGAACATCTTGGAATCATATTTAGCTACGTGCGTTAGTGATAAACAACGCATCCGTCGCAAAGAAACTGTACGTCAACCTAGTACGACGGTTTGCGTACCACGTCGACCCATTGAGGTATGCTAGCTGGTGCCCCCTGGCCCCTTGAGAGCTACTTCTACCAAGTTGATCAGCGGTTAAAGGTCAGACGAATTCAGTCTCCTGGTCCTCCAGCTTGGGGGTTTGAAGTGCGATGGCGTCCATCTCTATAAAACCGAATCGTTGCCACCTCCCCGCTGTCTTGCGGACAGACTTTTGAGCCAAAGGCTTTGGTTGAGGATCCTAATTGTTCTCCTTTCTAGGTCTGGGCGCCCTGGCACTATCTCAGCCCACGTACATCAACCACATTTTGCATCGGACGTTGCGCAGCTTATCAAGGGTCGCCGTATCTGCTGCATACAGCAGGGCGGATAAGCGAAAACATGCTACTGCTTACGCTTCCCTTCCTTATTTTCCACCTATCTCTCTAGCTCCCCTGCCAACCCCCATTGTTAACCTTCCTTCTATACTTCCCAGCTTAATTGACAGTAGCCTCAAGGCTTCTGCAGTTCTAATGTCTATAGCTATCTTTCAGCACCACCCACTGGACGCCCATCGGCAACAGTCCTTTATAAGGCCACGCTGTCCAGTTTCCCTGGCGGCATTAGCGTTCGCACTGTCGAACAGATGGCTCAACAGGCTGCAATTGCACTCACTTTGACGTGTGTTGCGTACCCGAAAGTAGGATCACTAATCCTCATGGGTTTGTTGAATTAACTACCCCAGATTTATCCTCTCATTATTTGTTCTACGCGTACGGAAACCCCGAACTCGGAACCACAGGTCAAGCTGGGGTGGACCTTGTTCCCTACTCCAAGGCCGAGTCATCTTTGGTTGACTGGACCCCCGTGAGGTGCCGTTTGACAACATCAACTGCAATCGATCCACGACGTAGCGCTAGACCCTGTCTTTTGTGGTTTCCGCTTATGCTCCCACCGACTGCAGCTCTGATGTTGCCAAGGGCACCTTCTACCATGAAATGAACACGCTACTACGCAGTGTTACCAGTTCAGATATCGTTGTTGTTGCAGGAGATATGAGTGCGCAAGTAGGTCCCTTGGACTCTACAGGAACTGCGAACAGACGGACAGCGGTGAGGATGTATTGCGACTGTACGTAGAGCACCGGCGTTCTTAGTAGCATCGCTTTTAGACACCGGGGGCGCTGAAGTGCTGCTTGGCGTCTTCCTGTAGCTAACCGTCTACGGACCCGATTAGATCACATTCCCAAAGGTTACAGGTGGCGTGCTTCCATCCTGGATTACCGCTTATTCTGGAATATCTTTGTCGACTCTGATCATGCCTTAGTACGCTGTCGCTTATCCATGGACTTTGCCGATAGGCACAGGAAGCGTCTCCCTCGATTGGCAACGGAGAAATTATCTCAGCCCTCGGTCACGCAAACCTTCAGGATCCCCTGCATACCGAACTTTCGCTCTCTCGTCCTAATGACATTTAGCTTCATGGAACAGGATCTCGGTTGTCATGCACCGTGCATGAGCCTCTGCTTGCGGCACTATCAATCGTCATCGCATCAGTCACTGGGTATCCTAGATGTCGATGAACCTGCTGGAATCCGTAAGAAAACCCCCGACTGGCTCTGAGCGGACCATTTGGTGCGAACTAAAACGGAGCCTGCGTGCTGACAAGGAAGCCTGGTGGACCAGTCGGGCTGAAGAGATGAAGGAAGAAGGAGCAGTAGGAAATTATCGCATGCTCTACCAACTGATCCGCACCACTGGTCCCAGAAAACCACGCGTCAGGAGACAACCAGAGAGAACGGGGGTGCCATGATTCACTATAACGAGCGCCGTATGGCTCGTTGGGCGGAGCACTTTCGAGATCAGTTCAGTTACCCCCTTGCTTCCGGGTCTCCTCCTACTAAGGATGAGCCATGAACGGTTTGCCTAGAGGCCCCGACTGAGGCTCAGGTCCGGAACGCGTTCGTAGCCCTCAATCGTTTTCGTGCTACTGACTCGGATTCTCTCCTACCAGCACCACTTAAGGATGTTGGTTGAGGTCCTCTGCAAAGCACTGACGTCCCTATTCGAACGGATCTTGATGACACTATCCCGGCTAACTGGAGTGAATCGATTTTAGTGGTGATGTACAAGAAACGCAGTCGCACCGATTGTGCTAACCACAGGGGGATTAGCCTAACGCCAGTTGTGACGAAGTTACTGACCTCGGGTCCGGTTCGTCGCGTCACTGTAGAAAAGCAGGTAGGTTTCCGCCTAGGATGGCGCTGTATATATATATATATATATATATATATATATATATTCAAAACTCTGCCAATTACAATATAATTGGCTGAGTGCCACACCACCTAAGAAGAGAAAAGGATAGCGTGAAAGGGAAAACAACTGTTAGGGTAGAGGAGTCTCACTGCAAGTGCGCCATTGCGTACGGTCCTACGCCATATCCTAAGGCGTTTGTAACCAGATGTGTTCGGGGTCCATTGGTCCCCAACGTGGCAGTAGGGAAAGCCCAACAACAGCCAGTTTCAACGTTTGCGTTCTAATGCTTTGGATCTAAGTTTTACATTGCCCTCCTTTTCGTCGCTACCAAACCACGCCTGCGCTCGCAAATAGGGCTCGTCGTGGTAGTTGCTGAGTAGGCATGCGGAGTACTGGGCCAAGCCTGCGAAGCCTCCGCAGTGAAATGATGCTATTAATCGGTCGGCTGACGGACTTCCGCATTAGTGATGTGATGGCGCCATCGAACACCGGCAATGCTTCGCAGGCAGCGGTGATCGAAGACAGATAGCCGCTGAATGTCGCTTTTGTGAACGGGCCAAGTCTTACAGCCGTATAGCAGAATCGCTCTTACCGTATCATTGTAAACTCGTCTATTGGACAGCGAGGCTGAGGTCACGACGAAACCACAGGTGCTGAAGGTTAGGGAAAGCGACTCTAGCCTTGGAGACACGTAGGAAGATCTCATGTGTCAAACCGCCAATACTAAGACAACTCCCAAGATAAATGAATTTGTCGACCACTTCCAGCGGATTCCCCGGAAGGATGAGAGGACATGCACTTGGCCAGTTCTGTAATAGAACCTTACATTTGGGAGGGGCGAAGGTCAACCCAAATTGGGAGGCGGACATCTCCAGTCCGAGCAGCACATGCTAGGCGGCTTGGGAGGAGTCGCAAATCACAGCGATGTCATCGGCGTACTCTAAGTCCCGAAGGCGATCACCAGGGAGCAGTTCAACACCGTAGGACTTAGAGTTATCCAGGGCAGTATCCGGAATCTCGTCCATGGCGAAGTTAAACACGAATGGAGAGGCTGGGCATACCTGTCTAACACCGCGAGTGATACTGAAAGGGGGCGAAATTTCTCCGTATGCTCGCACGTGGCCCGAAGTTTGATGGTAACTAGCACGGAGAATGCTGATGTACTTCCCAGGTACTCCCCTCTTCAGTAAGCAGTCCCAAAGAGTCACTCTGTCAACAGAGTCAAAAACGACTCGAATATCCAAGAATATGACTATAGTTGGTTGACTGAATGTATGGCGATGTTCAAGTATCTGGTGCATCGCAAAGATGTGACCGACACAACTGCGAACGGGGCGAAATCCAGTTTGTTGATCACGCAGGTGCTGTTCCCGTACGCAACTGCGCCTCCGTAAGAGTAGGACAGCGAGCAGTTTAGATGCGACACAAATGAGACTGATGCCACGATTGTTGGAGCAAATGATTCGTTATCCTCTTGTAAACACGTACAACATCCGCTAAATTCCAGTCGGATGGAATTGTTTCAGTAGTCCAAAGCAGATGGAATAGAGATGTCAGTTCGCG